AATTTTAATTCTTAATGCTCCCTTCAAAAGTTTAAATATTTCAATTTTTCAAAATAATTAATGCAAATAAAATTACCTGCAAATACAATATTTTCATCAATTATTATTAAATCCAAAAAATAGTTTATCAATATTTTACAATTTTTCAATAATAAAACCATTGTTTTATTCGTTCCTGGTGTAAATTGTTCTAAACAAATTTAAATTTTTAACAAAGGCGTCTGTGATCAGCTTAACGTTTGCTCTTATGTGAACACACTTAAAGTTTGAAAGATCAATCGGTGTATGATAACCAAGGGACCAGCCTGTAATGATGATTTGAAGTGGAGGTTGGCTGATGAATTAAAGGAATTTGGCTGCTGTTTGTTACGTGTAATATAGCTATGTCGTTGTAATTCTCAAAGATTCTCAAGTGCATGAAGAAAGTTGGTTGCAATCAACAAAAACTAAAGAAGTGTGTATGTGATTACGTATTTTTATTTTTGAAATTAGTTCCCGGACATCTGCTGTCACATATTTGTTGGATTGACAAAATTTTTATCTGAACATTCATGTGAATGTAGTTTTTTGTTCTCCATTGTCTCTAGTGGATAGACCTTGTTTATGTTAATAGTTAGCGTTGGCCCATTCCCAATAGAAAAAAATGCCAAAGAAATTGTTGACGTTAATATTAATTGTGGTGTCAGAGCATGTCAGAAACATACACACAGGCACACGTACACATGTACTTCATAATTTTGCTGTTTTGCATTTTTTAATTACAAATATGCAACTGGAATGCTTAGAATAAATAATTAAATAATAAAAATAGTTATTTTCAACGTTGTCAGCCAGTCGGAAATAAGTTATTTAAAAATGAAATAACTTTAATTTATTTATTTCAAAAGATTATTTGAAAAATTATTCACATTTTTATTTCTAATTTGTTTATTTTAAAAGATTATATGAAAAATTATTATTATTATTATAATTTTTATTTCACTAAAGAGCTAAGGATTAAAGTTGAGACAAATGAACGTTCTTAATATTTGCTGTCTATGCAAATTTCGGTATGCCAGTGTTTTGATGTATTTTTAAAAAATGAAATTTTGTTACTTTCATTGTTTAAGTTTATTGGTAACTTTTATTTTGTAAGTAAACTAGATGTTCAATCGTTCTAAGTACGTTGTCTAATGTTTCATAATGATAAATAGACACTTCATTCAAACCACTAAGGGTGTTTAGTTTATTTTATAGTAATGTGTTGGTAGCGGTAGTTTTTCCTGCTTGTAGTATATTTTCATCTTTGTAGTTTTTCCAGTTTTTTTCAAGATGTTGTTTCTTGCAATTTGCTGGATTATATAACGTTATATAGCATAACTATATATAGCGTTTTATGTTAAGCCAAGTACATAATTTATTAGTAGCACTATTTATTATTGAATTCAATGTTTTACAATCAGTTTAACATGTGTGTGTTTGTAACGAAGATTTGCATAATTTTAAATTTAATTTTAAAATTAAATTTGCCGCAAATACGTGAGCAGTGCAGATTCTTCAGGTGCAGGTGGAGAACTTCATGACATTTTTAATCGGTAGGCAATGTCTGTTGAACAACGATGTGATGCCATGTGGCCAAACGAGGAATCAATGAACATGTATGTTGAGCTAATCAAATTTAATGAAAGTGCAATTTTGTGTGTCTTTGAAAATCAAGTTTACTATCAAACACCATTGAAGATAATTATACAAAAATTATTATTTATATAGAAATAAGCGGCTCAACTGTGTAAATGAAATTTTATTACTCAACTGTATAAAAAATGAAGTTGAACGATAAGAGGAATGATGAATCGTAAACAAACGTTGGTGTTAAAAAGGTCACGAGAAAAATAAGAGCAACGGAAAATCAGGATAATACCATGATTTAAATGGCGAAAAATTAATTGAAAAGTTTTAAAAAGTCATGATTAAACTGGAAGATTAGTTCTGTTGTTCTAGGTTAGAACGGACAACGGCCGGTTGACAACACAGTTTCAATAAGAAACATTGCACATCTTACATCAATTAAAAATATTTGTTATGTTTGATTGTAGAAAACATTTAAAATTATTTGAATAATTTTCTTCCTATGCCAACAGTTTTTGTTGCGTTTGGCAAGCCTTATGATATGTTGGCTAATTAGCATTAAATATCATGAATTATGAAAGCAAAGTATTGATAAACGTAATTTTTGTGGCCATAAAGTTTCAGAAATGTATTTCTATTGTTTAAAATGAAACATTATTAAATCTGTCAACAACATTTATGCGAATTTTCTCAAAGGAACTTTAAAAAAGTAATTTCCGGCTAAAGATGTTGGCTCCTCTCCAGGAAGTAACAAAATCTTTGATCAAATTTCAATTTCAAACTTGATGGAAAGTAAATTTGAAAAATTAAAAAACATTTTTCTAAAAGAACATCGCAGAAACAGAATGCCAATAAAATATTTTTTCTAGAATTTTTTTTATCTTCTTATAGAAAAATCAATCACTTTCTACCTACATCCATTTATGAAAATGTTATACTCGCACTTTTATCAACCCACGTCCTATGTGCATGTATTAATAATATAGCCTAAGTGTTGTGGGTCAAAGTTTCTCTAATTCAAAATTTGATGAAAAATAACTACCCCATCATTTTTCATGTAATTATTTGTAGTCTTGTTAAATAATTTTTATTCAAATTAAATGTGGTTTTCACTAAAATTTAATTAAAAATTTCTTTCTCAAGAACGAAACTAGATAAAATATGAGAATAATGAATTTAATAAGCTGACATGTGTTGGCAACATTATTTCCTATATTAACTGATAAAATTTTAAAATAAAAATTTAAAAATTTTCTTAATTAACAATTTTTTTGATAGAATACAATTTAATAATAAGTTCAGATTAGCTAGTACTGACGTTCAGGTTCTGGCTTGTTTTTATTTCTTTTAAATTTATTTTTTAATAAATTTCTAGATTTATTTTACAAACCAAGTAGTTTAGTGCATAAGACCATTCTATAGAGTAAAGCAGAATTAATAAAACATATACAACAAACAATTATACAATTCATTTGGATCAAAAGTTATATTTGTAAAACTTTTAGAAATCCGTTGTTATCACTGATTAGGTCATATGGTTAAGTAAGCTTATTATGTGAAAGTTGGAAAAAGATGAGGCAAGCAACTGTCCATTTCAAAACTGATCAACATATTTTGAAATGTTCATATGTTGGCAGAGCAATCTTTTATAAATAAATCATAATAACGTTTACGTTGGTGATTCATGGTGGATCTATAAAATTCTGTTTCATTTCAGCCGGCCGGATTCTAGAAAGAAAAATTTTTTTCATATTAATCAACACCACAAAATTGAAAATGATGAACTAACATTCATTTTATCAACCTTGTTCCTCGCTTCCTCTCTTTAATTTCATTCTTAAAAAGGTATGTTACATTTGGTCTGCACGTGTACATGCAAAAAACTCGACTTATTTCTATCCTGGTTGTTTTATTGTTTTTTTGCTGTGATTCGTGATGTTGTTAGCCTTTGTATGACTTTATTTTATTTCCAGCATCGAATATAGAAAACCTTTCATTTGAATATTTGAATATTAATAATCTGCTCCTATATTAACGATTTCTTTAAAAAATAGTTATTATTTACGTAACTATTTCGTTGCGAAGCAATTTTTCAAAATGGGATGTGGAAGAAAATATTGCTGATTTAAAGAAAAAAATATGGAAAATGTTTTTGTTTATTTATATCTTGGTAAATATTCACACTTCAACTATTTTATGCTACAAAAATATTAGTGGTGTGGAGCTCTTATGAAACAGAATGTTAGATTGTCTCTCGGTGTGAAATTTCATAGCCCTTTCTGAAAATTTGTTCATGAATTTGTAACATTGTTCTTCATTTACGTTTCTATGTCGTTGTGTACTCTGTATTGTGTGATACAACTGTTGTTATGCGTTTTTATGGCCATAAATAGGGCTTTGCATTCACTACAAACTCATGGCAATTCAAATGTCTGCTCGCTTCAATACATGTACATAAGGTCTACTGTGATGTTTGACATGCTGTTAAATTTATAAAGATAAACGTGTTTTTCTATTTATTTCATAATTTAATGCATTTATAGTGTTATTTTTTAATGAAAAAATTATAGAAATGATTCAACAAGGTGAAAATTTTTGAAAAAAATATTTGCAAAAAACACAAAAATTATATTGCAAATTTTTCATAATTTCACACACTATCACTGCAATAAAAAAATGTTTAAAAATCTTATAAATAAATAAATGAGTCACACTTCAAAAGCTTTTTATCTGCAATTTTCAAGTTATTTATAAACGGATAACATGCAGCTTCAATGACAAAACATCCAGAGGCTCTTCTGAGAAATTTTTTAAAATGAGCAAAAACAACAAGGTCATAAGATTTGGTAGGAAAGAAGGCAGTTTCTGTTTAATGTTTTTACAACTTAATTATCTTCGATCATAACAATGACAGAATATTTGAATTGAGAAACATTTTTGTTGAAAACATCATATGTTTTTCGTTTTTGTAGCAAGAAGATTTGTTTGGTGAACTGGCCCAATTTTGAAGGAAAAAAACTAACAACACAACTAATCAATGAAACACTAATAACAATAGAGTTTAAACTTATACTACGTTGTTAAAATGTATAAGTTTTGTTTCTTATTGTTAATGAAAATATAATCTTAATATAAACTTGCTACAAGACTATATTGTAAATATTTATAATTATAATCATCTAATATGTATTAATTGAATATTAAGTTGAAATCGTGACAGCAATAGCTACCTGAATAGAACAATTACCATCTTTTTAACCTGGCTAAGAGAAGCAGTGCTCGTCTACGTGTAGACGTGTCGCCCGTTGTTCAGCGCATGAGTAAGAAAGTTAAGAATTACGACGTTGGAGATCGCAGTGGATGGTTGGGATAGGTTAGATACTAACAGCATGATGTCTCGAAATACTGCTATTCTTATCTTCATTGCTATCACTATTAGGGGTCTCGTGGCCGAGTGGTTAGCGTGTCCGTCTACCACTCCCACGACCCGGGTTCGAATTCTGCAGTTTTTTCAGATTCATCCGGGTAGCCGACCCCCGGTCAACCCAGCCGTCCATCCTTTCGAGGTTGGTAAATGGGTAGACGACGTAAGTTGTCGCATGTTGGCTGGCGAGATGGCTCGGTGGTTCAAATGCTCGCTGAGTCAAACATCTCAATGGCTATTATATACTCAGCGTATATGATGCGGTGCTTGCGCGTGCACATTAATACATGTGTACGTCGTGTGAAAAGGATAAACAGCCTTTGGGGCAAAAGATGGCTGCTTCAAATAAATAGATGAAGAAAAGAAGAACATAATAAAAGATATATAGATAACATAATATATCTGTAACATTGTAAGTGGTTCTGGGTATGTCAGAGCTGCAATAATAAAGACTAATAAAAAAACTATTATTATTAATTTTATTATTAAATATAATAATATTATTATAAGTAGTAATAGTAGTGGTGGTATTAGTATTATATTATTGTTTTATTTCACTCAATCATTACTATTGTTGTATGTCTTGGGTTGTGTCGTGATAGTTGAATATTTGAAATTTCAACAAGTGTTATGCATCACGAATATCTGTGGAGAAATGAATGAAATGACATTTAATGAACACTAACTTATTCTCCTTCTTGTTCGTTCGCTTGTTCAAACTTACATTCCTTCATTCGTTCACTTGTTTTTAAATTGTTTGTAAATGTGTAGTTCAACTGTTCATTCACTCAGTCACTTATTCCTTCAATGTTTATGAAATAATTTTTTTGGCAACGCATCAACATTACGACAACAATATTCATTTCAGATCATGACATAATAGATCACGACTAATAAAATTACTATTTTTTGTTTAATATTTTGAACAAAAAATACAGAATTACTCACAAATGATAATTTCTGCTTTTAGTTATCTAAAAAATCGCACTGTATAAAAATGGGTGCTGTTGAATTTAACCATACTTATTCAGCATAAAAATAGCATAACAATATATTCTCATACTCAGGGAACAGTTCAGTTTATCAAAGAAGTTTTCAAATATTATCTAGATGTTTGCAAATTTTTCCCGAAACTCACAACAAAAAATTATGAAAATCAGTTGAATAAACTTTTTGGTTATTTATTAAATTCTTAAATTGGAATAACAAAATGCGTCCAGGATTTGCAAATTAAAAATATTAATATTGACAATTTTTTTTGCTATCATTGATAAATTCAGTCATGTTTTTAAGAATGAATAATTCTTTCTAAAGAGAGTTGACAATAATTTGAATTTTTATTTATCTGTCTGTTTGCATTCGTGCTAAGGCATAAAGTAGCTTGCATAAAAATCGTTTTTAATGAATAAATTTGGCCAGGTTACATTCCTTCAGCATATGACTGCAACTGCTTGTTTGTCTGGCTCCACCACTCCCGATATAACTGCGTATCTTTATATCTTCAGTAGCCACAAAAATATAAAATCATATTCTAATGAATGTCTCGATAGCTCTGTGACTGCTGAAAGTGAGTATGATGTTGTCTAAGTAGATACCAAGTTGAAATTCATATTGCATAAATTATGTAAATAACTGAATGGTAGTGTCTGGATGATGCATGTCTGTTCAACTGGAGGAGACAAATCATTCAACAAAGGTACACATAAAAAGAATAAATTTATCTCGATGACTGGGTGGGATAACAAGCACAATTAATAAACCATTCCTCTGCTTATGTTTAACAAAAATTATAAAATGGAAAACATAATTCTAATAATAAATGTTTGAAGGCTTGATAATTGATAATAATTTTGCTCTTATTATTTACGTTTATTTAAAATAGCGCCGATCACACAAACAGCCAAAATCAGATTTTGAAGCGACCAATGAATTAATCTAAAGAAATAAAATATTATAAACTGAATCTTTTTCATACAAAAAACAAAAAGTGTTGTTCATTAGATTTTATTTATTGGTGCACGATGTTGCTGTCCTGTCAGGCAAATATTCGTTGTAATGTAATGAGAAGTGGACGTTGTTTGACTTGAGGTGAACGCTGTGAAAACATCAAAACATTCTATGTACACAGAGATACGTTCGTACAAACTTGTGAGCAAAATTATTTTTGAAATTTGCTTTTTCTAACATCTAAATAGAAGTAGTCATGTCATGGTCAGGCTATTGTGATTGCATGCATGGATGCAAAATGCACTGAGAGTACGCACAAATATATGATTTGCACAAAACATTATTCAAACAGATATTGGATGTAAAGAATTAATAATCATTTATTAACACACACACCGATCTGTCAACGAGACAAACCAATCAATTGTGTTGTTATTCAATGTGAATATTCAAAAGGTTTCTACAAAACCTGTTGTAGAAGCCTATTGTGTCGTGTTGAAGCGGTGGATGTGTTGTTTGTGTTTTGCTACCTTTGTTTATTATTAGCATGTTACAAAACCAAAAATTTGATAAGTTTATGTTAAAAAAAAAAACAAAAATATAACAAACATTCATGCAAGTGTATGCTCGTTGTTTGCAATGTTATTACATTTTAATGTTTAGTTGTCATTAAATTTCAACTAACCCAGTCGACCAACATTCACCAGCACACAAAATAATCACGTTGTAATGTTCGAGTTTGCCTGTTGCATTTGCACTGCAAGAAATAACATTTCTTTACAAAAACTATAAAAAGGAGGGTCGAAATAACAGGCCAGTTACACTTGCTTCGAGCATATTAAAGCACAGGATCTCAACAGTAAACCAAAATTTATAAAGAATTTTAAATAAGAAGCAGACTTTATTTTATTTAGCATTTATAAGTAAATATCTGCTTAGATATTATAACATTAAAAATGTTGCTCTCTATAGAGAAGCAGGTATGTTGATCGTTTGTTTTCACGTCGGTTTGTGCGAGAGGTAGACCTCAATTGTCCTGCTGCGTAAGCTGCATAATACATTTGTTATACTCGACACTGCTTCACACGCACACGCACGCCAATACACACAGACAAATATATATATATATATATATATATATATATATATACAATTTGAACGAAATTGTGTGAATTTTAAAAGCAATTAATTCGAAAGCGTTTCAACATTTTATTAAGCAAATAACGTTTCTCAAACCTTTTTAACTATTAATCAAATATTTTTTTAAATCAACAATGTGTGAATAGTTGTATCAAGTTTGGGAGTTTTAATGGCAGATTAAAGAATCCACTATGTGGTTCTCTTTAAGCCAGCATCAATAATAAAATTGATCGTTCCTATAACAAAGCAACATTTATCAGGGAAGTCTATTATTCATGACTCCGAACAATTTGAATAATGCAAAAAAAACAAAGAGGCTATGATTAAATAAACAATAAATTAATTTCAAATGAAAAACCTCAAAATTATTAAAGCACAAGTTGGAAGTTGCTCGTTCAAAAATCAGTTTATTAAACGACTTGCCAACGTACTTCATAAAAACTGACCAAATTTTTTCCATAGCAGAAGTAGGTTGCATTGTTATAAAGTATAAGAAAAAATTGTAGTCAATGGAAGCAAAAAATTCTGCCTGATATTTTAATAGGAATACGATAGCGCTGATAAAAAACACAAAAACATCTCATAGCATAATTATCGAACGAAATTAGACTATTTTCATCACGGTTATTTATATTCATCTGCTGTGCCATCATAAACAAATATCAACGTTATCAACAACAACAACATCATCAACAACAACATTATAAACAACATTAACAACAGCTTCACCAACTAAAAACATCATCAGCATCATCATAAACAACATTAACAACAGCTTCACCAACTAGAACATCACCAACATCATCACGAACAACATCACTAAACAACCATTTCTACCACGCTCATTTTCAAATCCAAACCAAATATTCCATCTCCCAAAGACTAATATGAACTTTGAAATTCAAAATTAACGATGTGCAAAATTGTTGCAAATTTTGTCTTGAAGTTGATGGAGACAAGTGGAACTCATTAGACCGCCTGATACAGTTTGATAACCTCCAGAGTGAATCCGTGTTTCTTGATTACAGGTTTTTTTTATTCTGAAGTTGTTCATAAATTTGTATTATAACAATGAATGATAAATTACTAAATGTGTGCTAAATTTTTAAAATTGAAACCGCACCTATGAAATGTGAGATGAAATGAAATAGGAAAATATTTTTTATCATTTTGGATACGTTCTTCGTTAATTGTTTATTAGATTTTAGCTAAATTTTTAAATTATTTTATTATTACTACTAAAATAACCCAATGGATGATGGTTATCAACATTTAAGTACATTTTGTTACCGATACAATTTGCATGTAGTGCAACGTTACATTAAAAATATTTAAAACACAATAAACAATATTATATAGTGAAAAATTCTGAAAAATGTTTTAGCACTTAGTAATGTTTGCACAACATCTGAGAACATTCGAAATAAATCAATCTTAATCTTCTCTTCCATTTTATTAAGATACTCCTTTTTGCTGATTTACAAATTTGCACAATTTTTGAATAATTTTTTTTATATTTGGATCGAAACTCTTCTCGCTTCTGTTCAGAGCAGAAATATTTTTTTCTCAAATGAATCAGTTCATATCATATTTTTTGCTAAAGGACCATAGAAAGTTTTAAATATTATCGACATGAACATGTAGTAGGTTACACGTATAAATGAATTGAAATTTACTGAAACGAACTTAAAAGAAACAAATTAAAATATTGCTGAAAGGATTAAGTATTCAATTATTATCATTATCCAATTATCAACCTTTTATGAGAATTGTCACCCTATATGTTATTAGCTTTATGACATTAACAACAAAATCAACATAACAAACACAACGCATCAACATGTCATCTCATTCTTACACTATAGCTATTCTGACGACTACATTACATCATAAATTCCTGAAACACTTGCACTTCAAATTAATGTGTCTGACTCAGCATATGAACACTATTTCAGTAGAAATAATAAAGTTACCTAAATTCAACTTGTTCGTAAATGTTGAATACGTTCCTTATTATTGTTCGCGTTTATGAATAATTTATGAAGGCATTCACGCTTTTATGTTCCGTCTAGTTTGGTGCACCACAATTTTGTGCTTGCTTATATGGATAATGGTTTTAATGCATGAATGAAAGTTTTTGTATCACATCCATATGACAATTCTGCAATTTACTGTAACGCGTGTTATTGTTTTTTTTTGTTTTTTTTTTCAAATAATTTTAGTCATCTATTTTGGGTAATATTCATTTAAAATTTGTTTTCATATTAAATTAGACTAAATAACTAACTTAAGGTATAAATTGGAATAAGATTTGATTTGCATGAAAAATAGAATTACATAGAAACAAACCTAACGTGTTTTGTAGGAACTGAATTACCCAACAAATGCTTTCACCAGAGCAACGGAGGAACTAACCATGACGACGGCGTCCTTTGTGCTCCTGTGTGTCACTGCGTGCTCTGCTTTTTCCTACGAACGTCTGAACGGAACATTAGAAGGGTGTGTTGTGTTCTTTTGTGTTGTCTTTTATCTGCCAGTTGATTGCTGACTTATATGTTAGTTTACTTGTTTTCTTTTGAATGTTTATCGCGTTCGCTCTGTTTTTTGACGTGAATGTTAGATAGGTGTTGTGATCTCATTATTGTATGTTCAATGATGCATTTTGTTTGTTTTGGGGAAGAAAACAATTTTTTTGGTGTATTGTTTGTTATTTTTATTCAATTTTTTGATAAAATCGCTTACTTTCAATATTTTTTAGCAAAAAAAACAAAACAACTTCGTAAAATATTTTTAAAATGTTTTTATACAAAGTTATAACAAAATAATTACGTCACAATTAATCCGTAAACCGGTAATGAAAAGTTTTCTATATTAACATACCCAACCACATATTTGTCACGCACACAAAATTGAAAAAAATTGTTGATCTCGTTATTTTGGGTATTACAAACGTGATTATAAAAGATAATTATACACTCAACCACCTTGCATGATTTTGCTTTTTTTAATTTAAGAATAATTTTCAAGCCCATGGCTCCAGTGCAGGCTATAATGAGTTAAAAAGTGACAAGGATGGCGTTTGATATATGAAAAAATCAAAGTTAAACCATAAAAAACTTTTCTTGTAATTTATAATTGGAACAAGTATAATACTTGCGAAAAAAATTTTGATGGATTGAAGTAGCAATAATTAAAAATAATTCTATGAATGGTTTTTCAATTATAATTAATTATGAAATGGGAGCAATATGAACTAAGGGTGAACGAATTTTTTAATATAAAGATGATGATGTCTCCATGGTGGTCGGCGATATTTTTCAATTTGAAACATGTTGTCAGGGAACTTTTGAGAAACCAACAAGGATTTCAAAATAGGAGAAAATTTTAAAATTTGAGAATTATCTTTTTCATATGATGTGAGCGTGTTGTTTAAATTCAATCTTCAACTCTGGGTTGTTGAAATTATTAAATACATCTGAGTAATATATCATCAAGCAATA